GGAGAAAGGAATTGGCATAGTAGAGGTATATCACAGGGTGATGGGGAATGGGGACAGGAACTGGGCTTCTCTTGGGGAGGTCATAGCCTCAGACAATATTACATCTCATTTGCGATTGTTGTCCAGCTTTGAGGAGGGCCAAATTCGAGATGTGGCCAAATGGAAGTCAACCATGATGTCTTCCAGAGTTCCTTCCTTCATCATGGTGTGTAGGGAATCTGCAGACTACATATTCCATTATTTTATTGCATCTTTATTTCTATGAGATGCTGTCTTGGATGATGAAGGATTTGCCCAAAGCAGTACAAACAATGAAGATCAGGCCTTATAGCCTCCCAACTTGTGCTTAACATATGTATGTACATATCTCTCTAAGCATGAATTAAATGGCCTAGGCAAAAAGACATTTGTGCTGGATAAAATAGTACTAAAAACCATTTTGCCAGAGAACTACTTTCTACCACTATACCAACCATAATTATTTTAAATAGAAATTTTATTTTTTGCTTCATTGACAAATAAATGTATTAAAATATATAAACAAGAGGCAGCTTAGATGATGCAGTGGATAGAGCTTTAGCTTTGGAGTCTGGAGGACTTGAGTTCAAATCTGGCCTCAGACATTTGACACTTACTAGCTGTGTGACCCGGGGCAAGTCACTTAACCCTAATTGCCTCACAAAAAAATAAATAATTAATTAGAAAAAAACCATATATTTTATTCATATATAAATATATTTTATAAATTTTATAAATTTATTTTATAAATATAAATATATAAAATATGTATATATTTTAATACATATAAAATATGTATATATAAATATGTAAAATATATAAATAAAATATAAAACTTGTTTATTAGGGGGAGGGAGCAGGGCTGATAATACAGATCTGTGGTATCATCAGTGTGGGAATTCTGGTATAGAGTCTTCCTATGATCAGTAGCTTTTCTGGAACTTAGAGTGTTAAAGAATTGACTGACAAGTTATGTGACTCATCCAAGGTCACACAACTATTATTGTCAGAAATAGAACTTGAGCCCAAGTCTTCCAGGCTTCAAGGTTGGCATTCTATCCACTATGTCATGCTCTTCTCAAGTTTTTTCTTAACTTCAGATAAGAAATTAAGAAAAATGAACAGAAAGAGATTATTAATGATTATGCACATCCCTAAAACTCTGTTTTTGTTTAACCAATTGATAACTGTACTCCCAAATTATGGGTGTTCATTTTTGTATAATAGGACCCACACAGTCTTTGAATAGCATATAAGCATAACCATAGACTTTTTATAATTGGAAGAAACCTTAAAAATTGGGAATAAGGTTCAAATCTGGCCTCAGACACTTACTAGCTGTGTGATCCTGAGTCACTTAACCCCAACTGGCTCAAAAAAAAAATGAAAATAAGAAAGAGTGAGAGTCAGCATAGAGCACTGAATAGAATTCTGGCTGTGAGTCAGGAAGAACTGGTTTCAATTTATTCTCAGACTCTTACTAGCTGTTTAATTCTGAAAAAGTTAACTTCTCTCCCTAAGCCTATTTCCTATCCTGTAAAATGGGGATAATAAAAACCTACCTTCACGAGATTGAATGAGATAATATAAGTAAAGTACTCAGCAACACTTACAAGGTTATATAAAGTTATTATCGCAAGCCCCCTGAGGGCAAAGATGGCTTCGTTGTTTGTCTTTGTATCCCCAGCACCTCACCCCTAGCAGGCATATACGAAACTTGGTTTATTGACTACTTACAGGTGAGGAAGCTAAGGCCCAGAGGAGAGTGACTTGTCCAAAACCCCACAGGCAGTTAATAGCAGAGACTCCGCCTGCCTTCCTTCTAATCCAGGATTCTCTCCTCGAGCTGTCTTTTCCTTGCCTTGTGTCGGGCACGTTTGTTCTCTCTTATGTATGAAATGATTGAGATGAGGAACAATGGTAAAGAACACTAAAGCTCAAGGAGAAAGCTATTTTTGAGGAACTACAGAGGCTAGCGACCCCGAGAGAGTAAGAACCAATTCTGTTCTATTGCCTCAGTAAAGATGGAGAGTGGAATGATTGGGCCTGTTCAGCACCTAGGAGCTTCTGAAAAGCTTGGCAGGGGAAAGACCCTTCAAGCATCCCATATTGATTGGGTGATTGGTTACTAATTGGAACCTTACTTCCCACCATCCCCCTATATCTCCTTTTATTTCACCTGAATGGAAGAAAAAGTTTCACTTTTTTAAAGGATCTGATAAAGGGATCCAATTCCTTTTAAGATTCCTCCTGGAAAGATCTGAGTTGGTTAACTTGCATTTCAGCCATATGTGTTGTCTTATTTTTCCAGACTTACTGTTAACCTTTCTGTAAACTGTAAACTGTAGAACACTTCCCTTGCCTGTGTCCTGCTATGTATCCCTGTGATGAGCCCTCCAAGCAGCCTGGCTAGTAGTCCACACTCCATAGGTAACCTACACTACCTTGTTAGGTAAGGGGAGGGACATGGGCACTACCACTTTCTATTCTGCAGGTTTCATCCTGCTAGTAAGAAAAGGGCTTGCTTGGAGACAGGGCTACCAGTATCACCTTAGAATTCATCTAGAGGCAGCAGAAAGAATGAGTTCTCCTGTCTCAAGTGGGTATGAACAGATGTTATATATGTGATGTTGATAGGTCATTAGGCCATTGTTCTGTTTTCTTTTTCTTTTTTTCCTCTTTTCTCCTTTCCTTCCTTCCTCTTTTCTTCCTTCCTTCTTTCCTTCTTTCTTTTTTCTTTCCTTCTTTCTTCCTTTCCTCCCTTCTTCCTTCCTCCCTCTTTTTCTCCTTTTCCTTCTTTCCTCCCTCTCTCCCTTCCCTCTCTCCTTCTTCCTTCCTTCCTCTTCCTTCCTTCCTTCCTTCCTTCCTTCCTTCCTTCCTCCCTCCCTTCCCTCTCTCCTTCCTTCCTTCCTTCCTTCCTTCCTCCCTCCCTCCCTCTCTCTCTCTCTCTCTTTTCCTTCCTTTCTTCCTTCCTCCTTCCTTCCTTCTGTCTGTCCTTCCTTCCTTCCTTCTTCCTTCCTTCCTTCCTTCCTTCCTTCCTTCCTTCCTTCCCTCCTTTCTTCTTCAGCTAGTTCTCCCCATCTTGCCCAGGATGGAAATGCAGAGGCTACTCACAGCTCAATTCCACTCAGATTAGCCAGGCGGCTTTGACCTGCTCAATATCTGACCTGGCCGTGTTTACCTCTCTTTATGCAACTTGGTGCTAACTCCCCTCCATTCCCTTTGACTCATCATATTTATACCAAACAGTGTAGACATCTGATTGCCTTGGGCCACCATTGTAGCTCAGAACTCCCAAACTCAGAGTTTCAAAAGCTTCAGCTACCCCAGCAGCATGGGCTACTATGCCCAGAGCCATTCTTTTTGTTGTAAGTACCTTCTGAAGGGTACTTTGAGGAATCACTGGTATGGCCTCTTTTTTTTTTAATTTTACTGGTGTAGTAGCATGCTAGTAATGCCTTCTCATCCCCTGTCTCATCAACATAAGATGAGAAGGCATGAGTAACCTGCCACTGTACCAACCAGTATGTTACCTCTTCCCAAATGCTAGTGCCTTCCCTCTGAGATTATTTCCCATTTGTGCTATATATATATATCTATATATATATATATATATTATATATATATCTATATAGATATATATATCTTGTATGTACTTAGTTGCTTGAATATTGTCACCCCCATTAGAATGTGAGATCCTTGTGGGCAGGGACCATGTTTTTGCCTTCCTGTGTATCCCAGCACTTAGCATAGTGCCTAGCACATAATAAGTGATTGACAAATGGCTTTTGACTAACTATGTAATCTTGATTATGTCTTCCCCACCCAATGATACTGAATATCTTCCTCTGCTTCTTTCAGTATTCCTTGGATACTAGCATAATGTTCAGCTTGTTCATTTATTATCACTCATTCTTACATATGATCAACCTATATCTTTTTTCTGTTCATACCTGTCCTTTGATGTTATTCCTGTGTAACTCCTCAGTGGCAACATGCTTATGCCCACCGTCCATATGTTGATTGCTCTTTGGGTGGTTTATATCAGGGTGTTATTCAGAGGAGTTTTGAGTCTTAATGAGCTTACAGAGTGGCCAGCCTTTTTTGGGACTTTGAATCTCATTAACTGGAAGTGAATTTGTCAGCTCATACTGTTATGGGTCAAAGCTACCCCTCTCTGCTGGACCTACAGAAGAGAATTAGTTACAGAGTTGAACCCCTTTTCAAAGATATCTAAAGAGAAACAGATATAAAAGTGAGCTTGGGTCCTAGAGGGATTCCCTACCCTCCTCACACACATACCCCAGGAATCATTCATGTCTTTACTGGGGCAGAGGTACATGAAAATTGTATGTGTTCTTGCCCACAGAGCCCAAGAAGAAAATTTCTGGACCTGGAGAGGCAGCTGTGTAAGCTATCAACCTGAGACATGTTAACTGTAAAACATGTGACCAAAATATGTGGCCAAATGATGAAAATTCTTAAATCCCTCCTCAGTGGGTAGTAATAGGTGGGGAGGGGATGTCTAGCAATCCCAAGTTTGAAAGTTTCAAGAGCCAGACTTTGGGAGACAGGCGAGTTCCTGAGCAATGCTGCCTCTTGGAGAAATAAGAGAATTGTGAATTTGGTTCCTGAAGCAAGAAGAGCAGCAGGAGAGCCTAAGCCATTACATGGAGGAGTAAAAGATTTGGACTTTGCCCTCTGGTGGCTGCTAGGTGGCGAAGTGGATAGAGTGCTAGACCTGGAGTCAGGAAGACTTGAGTTCAGATATGACTTCAGACAGTTACTAGCTATGTGACCCTCAGGATATTACTTAACCTTTGTTTGCCTTAATACACTGGTGAAGGAAATGGCAAACCACTCCAGTATCTTTGCCAAAAAAAAAAAAGGCCAAACCAAAAAACCCATGGGCAGTATTGGGGTGCTATGGTCCACGGGGTTATGAAGAATTAAATACCACTGAACAACAAAATTACCTGGAATTATTTTTGGCACTGAAGATCTGATGGAAACAGAGTTTCCTTTCTTGCAATTCCACCTTCATGTTCCTTCCAGGGAAATCCAAGCCCTGAGGATAGTGCAAGTTTGGATACTTAGATGAATCTCCTGAGGTGAATGAGACCAGCATGTTGAAAGGTTGCTTCTCTAGCAAACTCAACCCATTTGTTTCTCTTCCTAGAGGAGTCCAAACCACATGATAGTGCTAGGAATATGGAGGACTAGAGCACCCTAGGTAAAGGTCGGAGAGAGGTGAGCTATATCAATTGTTTGTCAATCAACCAATCAGCAAGCGTTGATTAAGCACCTACAATGTGGAATAAAATACAAATAAATATTTCTCGTTGCTTTGAGGTGCACAATAGTCAACTCTGCCATATCTTCTGTTTACCCAGAGAACCTCTGACCCATTCTTCCATTTAGCTCTCACTTCCTTATTTCTTTTGGTTTCGTTTACATTGAGAATAAAGAGCCTGGTATGATTCATTTCCTCCTCCATGAGCATGTCTACTCATTGTCTGTCGCACAGAACAAAGATCTCACATTTAGAGGACCGATAGCTAAATCAGTATTTGTAAATGGTAGGAAAACTGGATTCCTAACACCCTTTGTCCCCTTCTTGCCACACCTTCCTACCCCGTAGTGCCTCCTACCTGTCACTTCCTTCCAAGCTTGTGGGTTTGGGGATTGTCAGCAGTGGTGTTGGAGTATGAGCTGTTATCATTCATTCAGTAGGCAAACTGCTTTGCTTGACTCTGCCACAGTTTTCCCCTTCTTTGATGCTGAAGAACATCATCTATGCCCCCTTGGTGAGGAAGGAAGCTATGTTAGAAGTTCTTTCTGAATTGATTTGAACTATCCCTTAGAAGGATAATTTCCATTCCTTTTTGTGTCTACCTTCCTATAAGGGTCTGTATTCTGAGTGTCTAACTTTTCTGTCTTATTGCCGATGGCTCTGTGGGTATATTCCATTTCCTCCCTAGGCAGCTTATTCAACTTCCTCCTTTCTCCTGTTTTATGGCTACTTTTGTGAATTGTTGACAGTCTACCGTCAACATATTTGGTGATGCAGGTCCTTCTGCCAGTAGAGTGAGTCTAAGACTTCCTGAAGGAGATATTGAGATATAATTGATCTGTTTAAGGATAAAGGAATCTTTCTGCCTTAGGAATTCAACAAGAATAATAATAATTGACCTTTATACAGTGTTTTAGAGTTTGCTAAGCAATTCACACATTATCTCATGCTCTCCCCAAAAGCTGTTTGCAGAAATCTAGCACACCTCACCTGTCTTGACCATTTACACAAAAGCTGTCTATAAGCTATTTGAACTTTATGGGCCTCGGTTTCCTCATGTGTTGAATCAAGGGACTGGACTAGATGATCTTTAAGGAATACTCTGAATCTCTATGATGCTATGTGTTGGGCAAGAGCTATGAAGCTATTGGGATGGCAAAAATGAATAGAGGGAAGGACTAGAGGCAGCCATATGGGTATGAAAATATACATGCATCCACAGACCAAATGAGTACGGCAAATTATAGCACAACAGCAAACATAATAAATGTAACAAGTATTTATTGAGTACTGACTGTATCCTAAGCTACCGTGCACTGCATTTTGGGAGGGAAGCAGAATTTGGATAAGGCATGGTCCCTGCCCTCAAGAAATTTATGGTTTAGTAAGGTAGAGATCTATCTTTGCATAGCTTGAGGCCATAAGGTGGGGTGGGGTGATTAGAGTGATGATGATGATTAGTTATGATTATAAGCTATTGGTCCTCTAGGGAGTAGTCCTTCCCACCTCTACTATACCTAGGCCTGCAGGCCACCACTCCCGATGATTCCATTGTCTTCCTTCCTCTTTCCTGGGCTCCAGTGATGTTGAGATTTTCCCCACTTACCACTGGCATATTCTTGCCCCCACCATATCTCCCAGCACCAGAGTGCATGTCCAATCACCCCACTTCCTCTAGGGGATTATCATCTGCCTATGGGGACATTTTCTAATCTGTGCCCAATAACCCTTTTTGGGTTGGGGACCTGTGCCATACCTTTGAAGAGGGAAGAGAAAGGGCATCTTGGATTATTCACAATGTATAGAAATATGAAATGCATAAATATGTATAAGTCAGGGACTTGCATAAAAGCTACCTGTGACACAGTGAAGGTGAAAGCCAGGTGCTGGCATTCATCCCCCCACCAAAAATGGACTTATAGTGTGTGTGTGTGTGTGTGTGTGTGTGTGTGTGAGAATGACAGAGACAGAGACAGACAGACAGATAGACAGAGACAGAAAAAGAGAGAGAAAGAGAGAGAGAGAGAGAGAGTGCTCTTCTCATAGGGTTTAGTATACTGGGGTCCCTATCTCCCCTTCCTCAACCCTCCACCATGGGTTGGAGTCCTGGGATTTCTGCTGTCAAAGCCCTGAGGTTGGGATCTTTCTCCAGGGTCTCCACCACTCCTTGATTAAATTTATCTTAAAAAGTTGATTTGATGATGGCTGTCATTCTTGCCTTGGGTGTTAAAACTGCTAGTAATCATTCCAGTCTAACATGACACCTTGCCAGTTGCCACTTGTCTAGTATCTACAGAACCACTACAGCCTGCCCCCTGCTCCCACCCCTCCCACTCTGCTCAGTCTTCCATTTCTCACTAGTCTCCTTTCTATCTTAGCTGTGATTCCTGGTTTGGACCCAATTTCCATTTCAGACAACACCTCCTACCTCTGGATGCCTTTCAGCTCCAGGACTCATCTGCCTGCTGGTTCTTGATGTTGGCTCTTTTGTCCTTTGATTTTGACTCCTACCTTTACAGGAACTTCTCAGCTGCAAATACCCCACCCCCACTCCCACCCCAAGCCACCCCCTCTCACTCCTACAGTAGCTCTTTTCCTCCCCTCCCCGCAAACAACAACAACAACAGGAATGAAGGGTCAGTCAGTTCCATGGACCTCACTCCACCCATCACAGCTCTTGAGGGGTAAGGAGAGGAGGTGGAGAGGGACCCAACAAAAGCGGCTTCATTCACCGGTGCTTATCCTCCTCACTAGTGACTGCAGAGTATGCCTTTTGTCAGTGTTGGCAAAGCACAGCTGCCATCATGGACTGTTTCCACACTACTCAGTATCTGCCAAAGCCATTTTTATGAGTCATTCCTCACAACACCCCTGGGAAATGGGTTAGTCATCATCGAATAATGGGCAATGTGATGCTAGTGCCTATGCATTAGTGCAACGCTAGGCACTGAAGTAGAGTGCCAAATTTTTAGAAGTGCCCCGCCCTCCTGGGTTATTGTGGTTCTTTGATTTCACAATACCCCTCACCCCCTGAACGTGCTCTATAGCGTGTGCTTGCTCTTTTCTCGGTCTCTGTCTCTCTTGTCCTCTCTCTCATTCTCTGTCTCTGTCTCCCTACCGGTTTCCCCTTCCCCTTACTTCTTCCTTCCATCCTTCCTTCCTTCCAAGAAATAGCAATTCTTACAGAGTTTCAGAGGCAGCTTTCAAGACCTTGAAGACACCTTAGAGCAGGGGTTCTCAATGCAAGGTCCATGGATAAGGGGTTTATGGATAGATTTCAGGGGTCCATGAACTTGAATGGGAAAAAATAAACCTTTATTTTCACTAACTTCTAACTGAAAACTTAGCATTTCTTTCCAATGTAAATGTAAGCAACAAATATTATTCTAAGAAAGGATCCATAGGCTTCAACAGACTGCAAAAGAGATGTAACACAAAAAAATATTAGGAACTCCTGCCCTAGGATTTTGGTAAAACAGGGCAAGAAATCCTTATCTATTCCAGTCTATTAAAATAGTATGGCCTTTGCCTTCTAAGAGTGGAGAGCTCTTGAAAATAACAAGAAGTCATTGTGTACATCATTTTCTTGGCTCCACTGTGGGAGGATCCATGGGTGTGAAACATTGCATATAATGTCAGATTTTTTTGATGAGTAGAATGGTTTTGCTGAATTTTTTCTTCTTCTTCTTCCTCTGTAAACAAAAACAAAAACAAAACAAAACTTTGTTATAAGGGATAGTTCTTTGAGAGTGGGGATGGGGAGGAACACAGAGAAAATCTTGGTGTTGGAGAAACAAAAGATAGCAATGGCAACTTGTTAAAAAGGAAGATGACAAGTAGATGAACACATATAGATGATGAGATGACCAAAAATAAAACTGGGGCTTCTTTGTCTGTAGGAATGATGACAACTTGTTTGTTTTGAGTAGATTTTGAACTTAGAATTATAGAGAGCTAGAAAGGACCTCAAAGATAATCTAATCCAACCCTTTCATTTTACATGTAAGGAAACTGAGGCTAGGGAGCATCCTCATGTTTGTATTTCCTTAGGGTAGCATTGGGAAATATGGATGAGCTGATAGAAAGTTTGCTGGACCACAGATTTTTTTTTTTTGAGATGAGTTCCTCCGCCCTTGAAATTGGAGTTTATGAGAGGGAACCTAGATGCCTCATATGTGAATAATCAGTCCATAGATGGACCTTTTAATGAACCAATTGTCTGAGTTTGGGGTAAATTGTATGTGTATGTTTGTTGAGAGAAAAAGATTTTGTCACGGATATATACAGATATAATCTTAAGGAGAGATTTTATTGTACTAAGGCATATTGATAAGAATGAAGCCAAGGTTTGACGCTTACACCTCAGGATTTAGACTGATAAGTTTTGCTGAGCACTGGAAGTTTCTTGGAATGTTCCCTCACTTGAGAGAGAGCATCAGCCAACATTCCCCTTGGATGTGGTGGGATTGGATGCCAAGTCAGTTTCTAGGACAGGGAGTCCCTTGTAAGGCAGAACATTTATAAAACACTAAGTGGGAGGATCCTGTTCAGACCTGCCATTCTGTTATTTTCCAAGGGGTAGCTGAGTTGGCCTCAATTCGGCACGTCACCCCTGAGATAACACTGGAATCATGTGATACGCTCCACCAGCCCCAGAATCTGAATTTTTTTCTATGTAAGAATAGCATATGTGAGCTGTGTTGTCTTGAAGTTCCACACTATTTCTCTAGCTCAGTGGGTCATCTAACCATTAGGAAGCTCCTGATGGATCAGGGTAGAGAGAACTTCTTTACTACAGTCTTCAATTCATGACACAGTTCCTTCAATTCGATAATATCCTACCTTATTGTAATGTTAACTAGGGCTCAATAACCTGACTAGAATGAGTCTAAAATAGGAAGACTTGAAGTTAGCACCTTTCTTATCTGAAGTATGTTTCTCATATGTTCTTAGGGGACTATCACATGATAGAGCATAAATGTGGTTTGATCAATCACACAATGTTACAGATGAAAGGGACCTTGGAGGTCAGTCTTTAGAGTATGGAATCCAACTCACTTAGTAAATAGACTGTATTCCTAAGAAGCCATCAATAAATGATACTTTGGTAAATAAAATCCTACTTTGCAACTGACTTGCATCATCATTTTTACTGTAATTCCCAATAAATCAATTGGTAATGACTCCTAATATTTTGTCTAAGGATTATAAATTCTTCCCTTTCTCAGGCACTCTATTAAGTAGCCAATGCCTTGTGAACTTGAAGGTCTTTAGTTGGAGACAGAACCGTCCCTTGTCTGGGATATAGTCAAAAAGAAATCCTGATGTAGTATTAGGTGTCAGAATCAGAAGGACCTCAGAGGCCACCAGGCCAAAGTACACCTGACCAATATCCCCCCAAAGTGGTTCTCTACCTTTTGCCAGAAGACAACCCCAATCCTTCTAGGCCCACTCATTCCACTTTGAAGTCGCTCTGTTAAGAAGGTTTTTTTTCTTTCCATCAAACCTAAACCTAAATCTGCCTCTTGAAATTTCTATTCATTGTTCCTATTCCTGCTGTCTCGTGCCAGACTGAATAAATTTAATCCTTCTTCCACAAGGCAACCCTTCAAATGCTCAAAAACAGGTATTATTATTATTACCACTCCCATTCCTCGAGATTTTTCTTCTCTAGGCTATCCTTTAACCAATCTTGGCATGGAATAGTCTTGAGGCCCGGACCATTCTGCTTCTTATCAACAAGCTCCAACTTGTCGATGTCCTTACTAAAATGGTACCCTGAATGGACCACACTACTCTAGATCTATGGTCTAGCAGCTTCCGCGTTCTAGGCACAATGCCTCCTCTGAGGCAGCCTCAGATCTCATTAGCTTTTTTGACCACCATGTTGCATTGGAGACTCATATTGAGCTTGTAGTTCACTAAAAGCCCCAGATCTATCTCAGATGAAAAAGTCTCCCTGTGAAGTCTCTTCCAGCTCTGAACCTCTATGATGCTATGACTTCAAAGCACAAATGCAGTGATGAACACAGAGTAGAAATTCAACAATATCTGTTGAATACATTAATGAATGAGTTCGCTATTCAAAAAAAAATCCTGTGATAACTCTTACTGGAAAGTAAATATGAATTTCTTAATTCATCTGTTTTGTAAATTTGGGACTTCTTTTCTTAAATGCAGGGCACACTCACTCTACCACAGCAAGTAGCTATGATCAGCTTCATTACCTGTTCCCAACAGGTGACTCTCAGGCATTTCACTTTTTACTTTCTATTACATCAGCCTCCTCAAGCCACTATTTCTAGCTTATGTAAAAATGTTATTTGTTGAAGTTATAAATCACCCAGTGTTTGTGCAGCTGTGGATGCCTCTCCATGTTCTTTTGTATGTTTACCTTCCTTGATGTTGCTGTCTTAGATCATAAACTGCTAAAGGACAGAGACTGTTTTCCTTTATTGGTTCTGTGCCATGTATGTGTGGGTATTTATCAAATGCTTTCCTGTGGTGAGGAGACCTTTTGTTCGTCTTCATTCTCTCTCTGTCCATTGGCTCCTTCCCTACTGCCTACAAAGATACCCAGGCCTCTCCATTCTCAAAGTCCCTTCCCGGGACTTTTCTATTCCATCCAACTAGTCATCTTTAGTCTCATTTCCTCTTTTTCATTGCTAAAATCCTGGGAAAAGTTGTCAATACTGATGAATTCACTTCTTCACTACCCACTCTTTCCTCACTCTTTTTCCTTGCAATCTGTCTTCTACTCCTCCCCTCCCCCCCCACACTATTATATTGAAACTGCTCTCTCAAAGGTCTTCATTGATAGCCTCATCATGACATGCAATGACTTTTATTTATGGTTATCCTCCTTGACTGCTCTGTGGCTTTTGACACAGTTGATAATTTCCTCCTACTGGATACTTCTCCTCCCTCAGCTATGGAAACTCCTGGATTTCCTCCTCCCTAATCTCCAATTACTCCTTCTCTGATTATTTTTTTTACTAACTCTTTATCCTTTTTTTATTCCATAATATGAATGTTTCCCAAGGTTCCATCCTTAGCCCTCATCTATCCCCTATATACCTTCTTCCTTGGCAGTCCCATTCATGCCCATGGCTTTAGGTATGACCCTATGGAGATAACTTCCAAATTATCTCTTTAGCTCTGACTTCTATTATTAGCTTTTGATCATTTCTAGCTTATTTTTTAAACTTTGTGTTCCATTTCAAACTGAATGTACCCCAATTTCAATTTATTCCTTTTTTTCCCCAATCCTGCTCTTTCTTTTGACTTCATTGACATTTTCTTTGATATCAAAATTTCTTTTCTCTCATAATTGCAACCTTGGGCTTGTCATTGACTCTTCCCTCTCTCTAGCATCTCGTATCCAATCAACAGCAAAGTTTACTTGAAAGTTGAGAGTATGAGTCTAGTAAGATGAAAGTTAATAAGTCCAAATGTATAAATCTTACACATGGGTCAAGTACAAGATGGGAGAGTTC